AGGGGCGGTCCCTGCGTGGGAGGGGCGGTCTCTGCGTGGGAGGGGTGGTCTCTGGGAGGGGTTTCACAGGTTCTCAGCAGGTGTTTGCCATCTTTCTTTCAAGTCGTTCTGCGGTCCTCACTCTTGTTGTACTGGAACCAACAACCTTATAAGTAGCAGTTGAGCGTGCTGCTTGCATCACGTTTTCCTTACTTGTTTTTTATTTTAAATCACTTTATTGGGGGCTCATACAGTTCGTATCACAATCTATCCATACTTCCATTGTGTCAAGCACATTTGTACATTTGTTGCCATCATCATTCTCAAAATATTTTCTTTCTACTGGAGCCCTTGGTATCAGCTCATTTTTCCCTCCCTCCCTCCCTCATGAACCCTTGATAATTTATATATATATGTCTTACACTGACCAATGTCTCCCTTCACCCACTTTTTTCTTGTCCGTCCCCCTGGGAGGGGGTTATACATTAATCATTGTGCTCGGTTCCCCCTTGCTCCCCCCCCTCCCTTCTCCTTACCCTCCTGGTATCACTTACTCCATTATTGGTCCTAAGGGGTTAATCTGTCCTGGATTCCCTGTGATTCCAGCTCTTATCTGTACCAGTGTACATGCTCTGGTCTAGCCGGATTTGTAAGGTAGAATTGGGGTCATGATAGTGGGAGGAGGAAGCATTTAAGAACTAGGGGAAAGTTGTATGTTTCTTCGATGCTATCTTGCACCCTGACTCTCTCGGGATGTTCAGTTGTCTACAGATGGGCCTTGGGTCTCCACTCACACTCTTCCTCATTCACATTGATAGGATTTTTTGTCCTGGGTCTTTGATGCCCGATAACTGATCCCATCGACACCTCATGATGACATAGGCTGCCGTGCTTCTTTCATGGGGGCTTTGTTGCTTCTCAGCTAGATGGCTGCTTGTTTATCTTCAAACCTTTAAGACCCCAGACACTATCACTTTTGATAGCCGGGCACCATCAGCTTTCTTCACCACGTTTGCTTATGCACCCGCTTTGTCTCCAGTGATCGTGTTGGGAAGGTGAGAGTCACAGAATGCTGTGTGATTAGAACAAAGTGCTCTTGTGTTGAGGGAGCACTTGAGTCAAGGCTCAATGTTTGTCTGCTACCTTAATACTTAACATATAAATATATGTACATAGACCTATTTCTCTATCATTATACCTAAATATATTTACATATGTGCATGCCTGTCTCTAGACATCTGTAAATGTCCTTTGCCTGCTAGTTCTTCCCTCTATTTCCTTTTACTGTACTCTTGTCCCACTATCATGTTTGGCCTTCATTCAGCTCTCAGTAATTCCACTTGTATACACTGCCCCTTTAGGCATTCTATACCCTCCTCATCATCGATTTTAGATCACGTGTTGTTCCTTTGCCCCTGGGCTGGTTGGCACCCCCCTCTACCTTTCCCCGCCCCCCCTTTCTCCCCTGCCCACCTGGAATCATTGGTCCGTTGTTTCCTCTTCTGGATTGTTTATCCCGTCTGTCTTATACCGATAGACATGCAGAGACAATAATAAGCACAAAAACAAGACCGAGCAAAACAAAGCCACAAAAACCAAAACCACAACAATCAAAAGCAACGACAAAATAAAGAAAAGTCTCTGGACAGCTCCAGGTCTGTCGGTTGACCTTTAGGAGTCTTTTCAGGTCAGTCATATGGGGTGCCACGCCCCAGCCTCAACACGTTCCCCTTAATTGTTGTTCTTCTTAAGTGCCCACGGAACCAGATCCGGCTCATAGCAACCTTTGGTACCACAGAACGAAACGCCGCCCAGTTCTACGTTATTCTCACAATAGTTCCCTGGCTGAGCCCATTGTTGCAGCACTGTGCTAGTCCGTCCATCTCACCAAGGGCCTCCTTGCTTGCTGCCCCTCCACGTCCGCAAACACGGGGTCCTTTTCCAGAGACATTGATGTCTCCCGGGCACATCCAAAGTAGGTGCCATGGGGTCTCCGTATCCTGACCTCTACGGAGTGGTCTCGCCGTACTTCTTGCAGGACAGGTGTGTTCGTTCTTTGGGTACCCTTGGTGCTTGCAGTAGTCTTCACCAGCACCCTCATTCATGATCACCTCGTCTTTAGGATGCCGTAGTCACATGCACCTGAGGCAATTAAAAATACCAGGCCCACCTTCGTCAGCCAAGGAACGTCCTTACTTTTCAACACTTGAGTTTTTGTGCCACAGACTTACTAATGCCCCGTGTCTCTTGATCTCTTGACTGCTGCTTCCATAAGCATTGATTGTGGATCCAAGCAATCCCTCACCAGTCATTTGGAAATACATTTTATGTCATCTTGTGGTCCAGGCAATTAATGTCTCAGGAAAAGGTTGAAACCAAAAGGGGGGGCTGTTGCGGACTGAGGTTGCTATGGACTGTTGCCTGGGCCCCCTTTGTACCTGCTCTTTGATTCCGTTCAGCAGGCCCCCACAGGGCCCTCAGAGCTTGTACACGGTTGTTCACCGGAGACCTGGGCTGGGAGGACTCTGTGCTACATCTACCTGCGCAAGTGGCGAACTGTCTATAGGAACAAAGACAAGAGAGGATTTGGTGTGTCAGAAAAAAGGAGGAAATAGGAACAGGGTCCAGAGTGTAGGTTGGCATTGGTGCCCCACATAATTTCCGCAGGGGAACTTGATAGAGCCACACCCTTCAGGCTGATGCAGACACTACCTGTCTGTGTGATGGTGATATGTGGTGTGAGGGCTGTGTGGGTCAGAACCCCCCACCTAGGGCCCACCCTGAAAGACGAATGAGGAAAGGACAGAGGGAGCAGAATTTTCCCAGGGGGTGGTAACCCAGCTGGTTGCTGAAGAGTGAACAGTATTGGGAAAGTAGAGGTGATGAGGAATGCGGGGCCCAGGGAGAGACGGACTGTCCCTACAGCTTGTGGAGGTAGTAGAACCGTCCCATGTTGATAGGCTTCACTCTTGGCACCACAAGGCAACTACTTAAAAAATATGTTTTTGTTGTTAGGGGTGGGTGATATTTTTGCTACTCGCCTGATGGGTCCTCATTGAAATTGTTGATCATGGCTGTGTGAAAAGTCTTATAATTGATATAGGATCTGGGTCCCTGGGGCATCATTGATGGGTGCACAAGGAGATCAGAGGGATGGGGTGTAAGGCTGTTCCCTTGACAGGTTTATTAAAAACTAGCCACCATTGAGTCCGTTCTGATCAGGATCGTCCGAGTAGAACTATGCATCTGGGGTTTTGTGGTTGCTTTTTTGGCAGTAGATCACCAGGCCTTTCCACCAAGGTACCTTCGTGTGGGCTCAAGACTTCCAACCCTTCCGTGACTAGCCACGCGTGTTAGCCATTAGAACCACCCACGGACTTCCCG